ACGCTTGATTCCCAGCTGTCTGTCTGCATATCGATCTATAACTTAATCTGTGGTTAAAACCTGCAGTGTAGCTCATGATGATCTTAAAAAAAAAGTGCTTCCTGTTGTGGTTGATGGATATGAAACTTAAACCTTACAAATATCTTTTTGTACACACATTTCAGAGTTTCCATCTTAAATTTCAGTTTCCGTGATATTACTCATTACATCAGAGTGAAACTCATGGATTAAAAATGTTCAGCTGCTAGAGAAATCTGTTATGGGAGCCATATTATTCAAACTGTAACCATATTGTAAACACCTGTACCTAGTCATTTTTTTAATGTGATTAAACTAGAGCCTGAGGAATATAGTATTTTTAAGACCTCTAAAAATTCCCTGGAAAGTGACAATTAATCTACCAGCATCTGGAAAGAGATCAGAGTTCCCCTATATTGGAAGTTGGAGTCAGCACTTATAACATTTTTTTTTCAAAGGGTTTTTGTCCAGTTTGCATTTATCAGATTTTAAAACATGATGAGTTGTAAATGTTAAAAAAAATGAAAAGGCAGAGCTGACACCAAGACTTTCACTGGGATGGACAAGGTATCAACACAGGAATGAGTATATCAGAGGGACAACTCGGGTTGAAAGCTTTGGAGATAAAGTTAGAGAGGCAAGCCTGAGATGAACATGGGACATGTGCGGGCTAGAGAAGTGATAGTGGATTTATTTGACAAAGGCTGCTTGTGATGCTGCAATGCTGGAGCAAAAGAAAGACCACAGAAAGTTCATGGATTTAGTGAACAATGATATGCAGGGGGTTTTTATGACAGAGGATGCTTGGGACGGATGATCTGATATCCTCGTGTTGGTGTTGTTCCCACATCATCATAATAAATGTTGTTCCAGGTTCGATATTGCAAGTGACCAGGATACTGCTGAAATGCAACGAATTCAAATTGCTGGATTGGCAGACAGAGGCAGTTTTTCGCAAGTTAAGTAGATTTTTTTTTAAGGTGTTTTTTTTCCCCAAAGTCGCAAAAGTATGATGTCACAACAATGTGATTGGTCACTTGCAATGTTGAACCTGGAACAATATTTATTATGATGATGTGGGAACAACACCGACACGAGGATATCAGATCGTGCGCTTGGGCCAGCAGGTGATGGAGGCAAACGATCCACTGTTCCATCCCTTAGAGCAGGGATGGGGGAACTCCAGGCTTCAAGGGCCGGTGTCCTGCAGGTTTTAGATGTGTCCTTGATCCAACGCAGCTGATTTAAATGGCTAAATTACCTCCTCAACATGTCTCCAAGTTCTCCAGAGGCCTGGTAATGAACTAATCATTGGATTCAGGTGTGTTGACCCTGGGTGAGATCTAAAACCTGCAGGACACCGGCCCTTGAGTTCCCCCACCCCTGCCTTAGAGTTAGCAGCTGGAAGAGGAAGTGCTTCTTGTGGTACATCGGCAAATGTCAGCTACCAGCCTACAGATAAATTAATCAGGCTCTACCTAAAATGTTTGCAAATGCTCGCCGAGCATTGAAAAGGCTCCTTATATTTTGAAGGTTTTAATTTTTTTATTTAAATTTTTTTTATTTCAAGAATTAAACCAAAGCAACTGTAAAAAAAAAAATTAAAAAAAATGCATGACTAATAACCAGCTGTATTACATATATCATGCACCAGTATTGGTCCAGTAAGATCTTCTGCTCTTTTGCTGAGCCTCCATATTGACGTGTCAAAGCAGCAAAATATTGTTATTAAAATGACTATATTCCTTTTCCAGGCTTTTGTGCAGTCTGGCTTTTTTTTTTCCTTAACCACTTAATGGCACCACAGAATAACTCGTAGTGCTTTATTCAAGACTAAAGAAGTCTGTTGGATGACTTTTTCTTCTTTTTGAGCAAATAATGTTGGATCTGATGCTCTCGAGGCCTTAATGTCTTAGAAATTATTTAAATGTTAAAAATAACCCTCTGCTTGTAAGATCCTAAATGAAATATTGAACTATCTGATCTGAAGCGCTGTGGTTAGGATGAAGTGGAGATGAAACTATATTTAACTCAGATTAGAGTTTGGTCTGACATGGATCACCACACAGCATTATCTAATAAAAGCAAACAAAAAAGTTGATAAAAGGTAGCTCTTTTTTTTGTTGCTTATACTAGTGGCTGTTTACTCTGTCATGGACACAAATTACTTTTCTGCTATAATGCCAACTCTTGAATGTGCCACCTAACTGGAGAGCCTGGGAGCTTATGATTTACACTTCATGGAAAGGTCTTTTGGCAGACAAACCTAATGTTTCAGTGACATTAAGCCATCGTCTAAACTCACAGCGCATTGGCTTTTCATCATGGAAACAGTCCAAGACTTTATTTCTTCATAGTGCCTAAAGATGTTAAACTACATATGGGGAATGGATTTGAAGACTTCTGAAGCATTGCTGTCTCGGTCCTCCCTCTGTGTTTGCCTGTGTGAGTCTAACTGGCAGAGAGGGAAGAAAATGAGGGAAATGCGAGAGACAAGACAGCTGTATCGGATCCCCAATTAGGAGCTACCACACACAGAGAC